TAATTTCTATAACATTATAAGAAGTCTTGGTATCTGGTAGGCCAACCATAATTGGTGGTTTTTAACATGCCTACTATCTCCCCAGCTCCCTCAATACAGAGATTCCATTTTATTTTCATATTCTCCATAGCACTGAGCAATTGGGAGATGCTGAAAAACTGATGTTAAATTAGTAAGTGAGCAAGAAATGCTAGCAACAGTGACTAGAACTTGTGGAATGTCTTCCTGCTCTTCGATTCCTCTTAATCCCTACCAACTTGTGGGATAAAATGCTCTGACAGAGGAGCTAGGTTAGACTGTATAAAGAAGAGTATCTACTCTGTGGCACAGATGGGCTTCTGAAGTTCTTCTCTAATAAGCATCAAGGGTGTGGAAATCAGAAAGAGGAAAAGAACTTATCTATATGGCTAAATTACATAGTCTTGAAAAATAATTGCAAATGTTGCTTTAAGTCTATGCAACTTAAAAAAGGCAAATAACTAGAGACCCAAGATTCACAGAAATACTTCATTCAGTATAATAAGGGAGTTCTGATTAAGGGTGTTTTCTAAAAACAATCCTATTTTTCTGTTTTAAGTAAATATGTTATTAAAAACCATTTTTGATAGATATTTCTGTAGCACGTATTATTTCCCATCTTTTTGCCTGAAAAGACTGATCTTTACAAAGCTCCTTCTTGATAAATTGGGATCACCACTGTAAGCTTATTACCTTGGGGGAATTTTATTTAAGGGGGTTGGGATTTACGGTTATTTGTCTCTGTGTGTAAGCCATGTATTTTGTATCAGACACTGAATGTTTTACAGGGCAATACAGGGAGACGTCAATACATTGTATCTTTACATCTACTTCATCTTTTAAAGATTCTCCCTGCCCCACAAACCCACTCACCTCTGTCTACACCTCTGTTTATTTATTAGACTTCATTTCCAAAAAGCCTCACTCCTCAGTGTTTTACTCCACATAGGGCAGAAGTGAAGGCAGCCAAAGAAAATCAAGTAATTTCACACAGATATTAGTTAAGTTATGTATGCTGTGGGAAAGACGTAATAGACAATGAAAAACTGTCAACTTCAGGCTGGGCATGGTGGCTGATGCCTGTAATCCTAGCACTTTAGGAAGTCGAGGCCAGAGCATCCTTAAGACCAGGAGATTGAGACCAGCCTGAGCAAAATGGCGAGACCCCATCTCCACAAAAAATAATAATTAGAAAAAAATAGCCACGGGGTGGCGCATGCCTGTAGTCCCAGCTACTCAGGAGGCTGAGGCAGGATCACTTGATCCCAGGAGTTTGAGGTTGCAGTGAGCTATGATGATGCCACTGAACTCCAGCCTGGGTGACAGAGTGAGCCCGTATCTCTAAAAACAAAACAAAACAAATAAACAAACAAATTTCCAGTGGACACGGTACAGTGAAATAGGCAATTTCATATAGTGCTAGTGGCAATATACCAGCATATCCTTCCTCGAAAGGAATCTGGCAAAATCTGTTAAAAACTTTATAAAGGGATTTTAGACACATTAATTCCACTTCTGGAAACCCATCCCAGGGAAATAATCAAAGATTGAGTCAAAGATTTTATAAGGATGTTGAGTAGAAACAATATTTATTTATTTATTTTTGAGACAGAGTCTCACTATGTTGCCCGGGCTAAAGTGCTGTGGCTTTAGCCTAGCTCACAGCAACCTCAAACTCCTGGGCTTAAGCGATCCTCCTGCCTCAGCCTCCCAAGTAGCTGGGACTAAAGGCATGCACCACCATGCCCAGCTAATTTTTATATATATTTTTAATTGTCCAGATAATTTCTTTCTATTTTTAGTAGAGACGGGGTCTCCCTCTTGCTCAGACTGCTCTCAAACTCCTGACCTTGAGCGATCCACCCGCCTCGGCCTCCCAGAGTGCTAGGATTACAGGCGTGAGCCATCGCGCCCGGCCAAAACATTATTATTATTATTTTTTGAGACAGGGTCTTGGCTCTGTCACCCAGGCTAGAGTGCAGTGGCCTGATCCTAGCTCACTGTAAGCTCAAACTTCTCAGTTTAAGTGATA